GAACCACCAGGCTCACACCAACATCGAATAGCAGCGGCGATACTCTCTTCCTACCGCTGCCACCGAACACCCGAAGAACACTCACGACTAATCCTCGGAGAAAAGGTTTTTAGAACAAAGAGAAGCAACACAAGCAGTTGAACCCAACAAGAGACATCGTCAGGCTTGCAAATCACCTTATCAAGCGCTGCTTTGAGAACCCAAGAAAAACCCAAGCGAAACTTAGGAGGAATAGATTTCACCGAACGAAACTGCTTAGATAGCAAACTATTCAGGAGAGCAACATCAGATGCAAAAAGAGACTCATGAGGCACACTAGGAATAAGATCAGATACCTCGGAAGATGGACCCTGCAGTTTAGGAAAACCATAAAGAACAAACCGAACAACACCATCCCCAGAATCAGGAGGGGCCACAACATCATCAGAACCAGGATCATGCCGACACTTCGTACGAAAAGTATGCGTCTTGAAACACTCCCCACAAAACCAAATGCCTATACGACGAAATGTTGACTCCGCTATTATTATTATTATTATTATTATTATTATTATTATTATTATTACTATTATTATTTTTTTATATTATTATTATTATTATTACTACTACTATTATTATTTTTTTATATTATTATTATTATTATAATTATTATTATTATAATAATTCTCCAAACTTCTCTAACATTATTATTATTATTATTATTATTATTATTATTATTATTATTATTTTTATTATTATCGCATTATTATCATTAATTATTATTGTTATTATTATTATTATTATTATTATTATTATTATTATTATTATTATTATTATTATTATTATTATTATTATTATTATTATAAAAAAAATAACAAAAACCTACAAAGTCAATTGATTTACAAGAAATTAGTGGGGAGCCGAGATACAATTTGGGCCCCCACCCCTCTAGGTATAGCGAACCGGATCCTGTTGAAGATATGAGCAGCTGCACGAGCACCAATATCTTGAATCCTAACAAACGCCTGAACCCGCTTCAGCAACGCAACAACATCCTTCTCTAATTTCCCCAATGAAGAAAAGGAGAAAGGAAGAAAAACATAGCCAATAGCCCTGCAACGCGCCCCATACTTGTCCCGCTTCCGCTGAGCCGCAACCGACACAACACGACCAGGAACAAAGTCAGAACACCCAGATTGAGTCAAAAGAGAAGACCCCATCAAGTCAACACATACATCAAGACCTCTATCCCAGGAATAAAGCAACACATCTGCTAGTCGAAGAGCCCCGTCGTTTCCTACGGTCAACCCAACGTTAACCTATTTCCTTGCAGAAATCCCAGAGCGGAAATAAATATCAACAAGAGTATCACGAACAACGTTGTGCCGATGTTTAATACCCACCATCCCAGCACAAGACACTGCATGATTCCCATATATATCCCCATCAAAAACCCTAGAGCAAGCAGAACACGGAGTCGAAACGGAGAATAAGGGAATACCTAACCGGTAGCAAAGAACACAACGATAAGTCTTACCATTCATAGTCTGACCCAAACCTGATATCGGGACCGCTCGCAACCAGGCAAATGTGTGATCCCCCTGCTGGGACTTCCATAAGGCGACCTGACGCGGAGATAAGGAGAAAGTGGATTCTACAGATGCAGTGACCTTTGTGAAATATATATCTACCAATTTCTTCATGAGATTGGGGGCAGCGATCTCACTAGGGTTACGCAAAAGGTCAATCTCCACAGTCCTATTAAAAAGACTAAGAGCGCCATCGAAGGTCGAACCTGGACCATTAATACCAGAATTGCGAAGAAGCGAAGTCTGAAGACCAGAAGACTGCAAACGTGACGTAAGGAATGCATAGTGTCGAACATCACCCGCTGAATAGACACCCAATCCACCATAAGAAAAAGGTAAGGTGGCAAGTCGCCATTGCCAATCACCAAAACCTGGCCCCGAATTAGTTACAATGCGCTCCAAAGAACCTTGAAGGGGCACATCAAAAGAAACCTAGGCCGTTTTGAAAAAGACGAGGAGGACACGTACGCATAGAGAAGTACAGTTTTGAAACCCTAGTACACGCACGAAGTAGTAACAGCTCATATTGGGGATCCTCAAGCTTAGCAACAGCATCCATGAGCACAATGGTCTTCGACACTCTCTGCGAAACAAGCTCACCACAGAAAGAGGCATCTGCACTAACAGGACCACCAAGCAACTTAACACCATGAATAGGACAAGCAATATCTAGAGGAAAGACACCGGCCAAACGGCTACGTGGGTCCTCCATGGGCCAGAAAACTTCCGTTTTCTCATTATTATTATTATTATTATTATTATTATTATTATTTTTAATATTATAATTATTATCATTATTATTATTATCATTATTATTATTATTATTATTGTTATTATTATTATTATTATTATCATCATCGCATTATTATCATTAATTTTATTTATTATTATTATTTGGTTTTTATAGATATTTTTACTCTTTTTATTTCTCTAGAAAATGTGCTAAATAATATGATATATTAATTATTATTATTATAAAACATTAATTATTATTATTATTAAATATTAATTATTATTACATATAAATATTAGTTATTATTATTAAATATTAATAATAATAATAATAATAATAATAATATTATTATTATTATTAAATAATTTTTTATTATTATTAATCATTATTTTTAAGCAGAGCAGGGCAGAGCAGATTTCAGCAGAGCAGAACAGCTCAAAAGAACAGGGCCTAGCTCGTCGCTTACTAGATTTCTGTTTTTGATGCAATATCCCGTTCCTCTCGTCAATATTGGTTCTAAAGCTTTCTTTTTCTTACCAAAAAGAAAAAAAAAATACAATTATTATTTCGTATATAATTAGACTCGTAGTTAAATATATTTTGAGCTATAATTACTACTTCATGCGGAGTAGTTTGTAGTAAGAAATCCACTAACTTTATACGTAGTCATAATTTATGTAATTTGGAGTAGTTTACTACTTTAAATAAATAAATTCACTTCCAACAACCCCTCCTAATCTAACTAACTTAAATAAAGCAGTGCTTCATTGCTTGAGAATAAAACAAAAGTGAAGGCAATAATCGATTTATATTATATGGTAAATATTTACGTAGTACGTTTTAAGTGATTCTAGAAAAAAAAAATGATCATTATGATCTTTGAAATAAGACTTAATGCCTAAAATTGAACAAATAATCATACTTGAGGATGGCAATCAGGAGCATCCGCAATATTGTAGAGCATCCAATGGGTGGAGGTTGACGATTTCTGTTCAAATATATTCAACAAACAAAATAATGATTATGTGATCTAATTGAAAAGTTCACGAAATCTTTTTATGTCAATCTTACTTAACCCGAATTTAATTATGTAATTTATATTGTATATACAGCTAATTTGACAACTTAATCCGAGAGCGTGGGTTAAAAAATGAATGTACTAAAGTAAAAAATGTAAAGCAAGAAATGACCATGATGAAAAGTTTCTTGAACCCGATTTGATCAAAGAATATTACATCTAGAAACATATCTATGACATACTCATGGTAAAGGAACGAAGCCGGAATAAGAATGAGTAGATCGATGGCATGAGTGTAAGTAATGTAAACATAGTTGCTCATTCCCTTTGCCTTGAGTGTATTGCTACCCACAAACATCACTTCCATTGCCAATAATAATTCCAATAACATATTTAATCCTTTTACATTTCTCCTTGATCTTCTCTTCTTTCTTTCTCACTTATTGGGAGCTTAATTCAAGTTTTTCTTCTCACCCAATTAAATGATACAAGTGCAAACTAAAAGTAATAATTTCATTCAAAATAAGTGCAATAATAATGTAATTAAAAGTTTATAACACAAATATCTTCTTAACGACCCACTAAATCCAAAACAAAAAGTATTGATTTATTATTGGGATTGGGATATATAATTTACAGATTTAATCCCACCAAAAGATTCCACTAATGGAATAAAATAGTCCATATGCCTACATGACACATGATCACGTCCATGATAGAAAATATTAGAATTTGTTTTTTTCGAATTTATGATTATATATTCATCAATAATGCAAAGTGGGTGATTGAGATAGTTTTAAGCTTATAATTTTGTAAGGCAATATATACAAGCTTAAGAAAACAAGAATCCAAGATTAGGTGATATGTGCCATCCAAAAAAATAGATTAAAAAAGACTAGCTGATATAGCTATGAGCAAAGAAATTGAAATTTTCTTAAATAAACATAAGGTAAGCATGGTTTGGGTTTACCCCATTCCAAAACCCATACTTCATATCTAAAATCCGTGAACCAAATACCTCTTAATTTGAATTTGTTTATAATAACCGAAGCCTTTAACATTAGTCTAAGCCAGTCTTATTAGTTGCAATAGGGAAGAGTGGCTCGATCATTATCCGAATCAAATTCATATGTACAATTATCTGTACATACAATTATTACTTCATATTAGAGATAAACCATATACAAGGAAAACAAGTAGCAAAATTTTTTATACATCCATGATTTTATCATGCAACAAAGGGATTTTTAGAGGATTTGACTCTTTCGCTATGCTAGACATCAACTTATTTTCTTCTTCTTTCTTATTAAGCATCTCATTTTCAGATTTCCTTTTATCACCGTATAGAATCCAACTGCTATAATCAATCCTCCAATTACACTACACAACAATAAGAATTATATAATTAAATATCCATTAATTAAACAATATAAATGAAAATTTTAAGTAGACATATCAATAAATTAAATTATCTAGCCACCCTAAAAATAATATCGTAGTCGTTCTCCTCTTCTTTTTTTTTTCTAGGTCTTTCAAAACTCAAAATTGTTTTTGGCTAGTTTGGACCTTAACTCTTTAGTAATTAATATTGTATGTTCTTATTTTTCATTTCAATAAAACTACATTATTTGAATGTATGTGCTCCCCTTTTTGTAGTATTTGTTGAGTATGAGTATGGAGTTTAGTTTAGTATTGGTGGAGTAATGTAAATTTGGTTCAAAGAATGTGACTCTTCCTCTTTTATGCTAAGACTATATATCAATTTATCTTCATCATCTTTTTTAAGCATCTCTTCTTCTTCGGCTTTTCCTTTAATCACCGAATAGAATCCAGCTGCTATGATCAATTCTCCAATTACACTGCACAACAAGAGTTATACATAGTTTAATTTCCATTATAAAGTAAACAATTTTCATGATATTATATGTAGACCTTGTCAAAAAAAAATGTAGACCTATTAATCTAATTATCTAGGATAGATCGAGCTTTTTTAATTCGGAGCATATATTTTTGAGTTAACCCACTAGTTTTCTAATTAATTCTATTTTTTGTTGATTTGATAAGTAAAACATGTTTTGACTTTTGATACTATACATTTATAAATTTCACTTTAACTAGTTTTTGTGATTTAAATTAGCAATGATAAAATATGGTCATTATGTGAGTAAATATTTGCAATTTTAGCCTCTTTCAAGTCTTTATATTAAGGTTTAGGATTTCTAAAACTTGCCAACTATATAGAAATAAAAGGATGATTAGCTCATATCCTACATCTTAATGTGATTTGTAACAAATATAGCAAGACTTATTCGACTTTTATTTTGTGCGCTTGAAAACATGATGTACAAAATGCATGTTCTATTACTTCTATATACTTGTATTTATAATAATACTTAATTGCTGACTTGCATGTTCTTGCATTAAACTAACTTTTATATTTTGTACCAATAATACTAGCATCTTACTCAATTCTATTATTTCATGTTCATTTTACTATGTGTGGTACATTGAAACTTACTTCCATTTTATTTAGTTTTGACCAACCTAAAATATTTTGAATCAAATGGCTTCAAATCATATACATTGGATTTCATAATAGAAACTCATCCAAAAAAAAAAAAAAAAAAAAAAGAAAGATTTGAGGAGGTAGGGTAAAGTTTGGGTCTTTTTATTGGATCAATATATACAAAGTATATAATTAACAAACTAGGTTTTTAATAATTCAGAGAGATCCCATTTTATAAGTAATAAGCAAGAAGTCAATCGATTTAAAAACATGATACCTCCCAAGATGTAAAATATCCCCAAGGAAGGAAACTCCCATAATAACAGCAATAATCATTTGAAGTGGCTTGAACATTGCCACAAATACTGGTCCCTTCAGTCTACATACCCATGTCTCAACCATATTTAATGAACAAACTGCCAGAGTCTGATAAAATAATAATAATATACAATACTAAATACAGTATTAATTTTATGAGAATATAATCAACAATAATAATAAGAAACAAAAAATATATATATCGAGGTTGATAATTTCATGAGAATTCTTGAATATAAAGACTTACTCCAAATAGAATAGCAATTAGTTTGATGTCCATGGTTAGTGTCCTAACACTTGCATCATTTTCTACGATTAAAGTAATAATTGATACCACTATTGTCTCAAAGAAGAAAGTAATTAGTGTAATTAGCACCACCGAAGGGAAGTCCCTAGCAATCCAAGTCTGGAGAAAGGAGTGATTGTTAGTAGAAAAATGATAAATGGCAATCCTTAAACAGAAAAACATGAAAGTGTGTAATTAATTAAACAAAAACTTGTGATCTCATTGAACAAGAAGCTAATTTTCACATACCAAATATTGATGGGTGAGCTAATCATTTCCCCATCAAACAATACATGCTTTAATAAATTGCATGAATTTACTTTATACTTTATAAGATTTAAATTAATACTGCAAATGAAATCAAATACACCTATCAAAAAAATATATAATCACGTGAGATTTTACCTTAAATATGTCTTAATGTGTAGTTTCGTGATATCAATTTTTTTTTTCTTATAATACGTATTTGGAGTAGTTAAATAAACATGAATCATGATCATTAAAAAAAAATAGTACATTCGTTTCACAATAATTGACGTGTGACACAATATATGGAGTATATTAATATAACTCGTGCCACACAATTGTTATCCTGTAAAATAAAGTTAAATAGATATTAATATATAGAGTATATATTTTCAAAATATTGTTTAATTTAATTTTAGTAATATAATTATTATATATTAACAGTCAAATTTATACCTTATCAGTGTAACCGTACGAAAAAGTGAATTAAGACTAACAAAAGAAAACAGAAGGATTATCACCTTAATGACGTATGCGAGCGAGATGAGTATGCAACTAATAAGAAGAAAGGTCCCTCCGAAGACCCAATTAGGTTGAGATTGAAGTTGAACAAGAGAGTGGAGAGATGACTTCGTAGGTGAAGGGACTATAATGATTAGGAGTCCATGGTAGAAGATCATTATAAATGCTCCACTAATCGACACTATTGTTCCTATTAACTTAAGTATGCAACTGTTTGAACGTAGGTTCAATATCTCCTTCCTACATACATTCCACTATTTATTACCCTTCATTGTCAAAACCTAGTTATTAGCTTAAAACATTGCTTCATGGTACCAAACCCGTGAACAAACTAAAAAAGATATATAGATAATAAAAGAAAAAAATAGTAAAATTTTAGACAATTAATCATATTACATGAACTGAATATAGCCGAAATGTGTGCAATGTCCACCTCCATTTCAATCATTAATTACTTTTATCACCAAGAAATACAAATTAAACTAGATAAAAAAAAAAAAAAAAATTATCCATAACTTTACATCCTAAGTTATGTACTCCAAATGTCAAAATATTTCCCCCATAAAACCTATTTCTTCCCTTTTTTTTTTTTTTAATTGACACATTTTGACTTTTAACAATATTCACAAATTTTACTTTATTAGCTTTTGTGATTTTAAGTTATTATCAAACATATTCATAGGAGATTTTGTTTGAATCGTCTCAATATATATTTTACTATATCAATTTTTAATATTTTTTACAAGGAAATGAATTCAATCTCATATCTTGATCCTTTATAGCAAGGATGGTCTTTATAGCAATAAAATAACTTTGTTTATCACTACTCCGTAGGCACTTTGGATTACAAGGAATGAAAGAGTGTTCAAATGATAGTGGACAGCTATAGTACGGTACTCAGGCATATTAATTTGGCTTTACAACAAGCTTATATTTTTTCAGGCCGTGACCTATAGCAAAGTCAACCCCAACTATTGTGAGAAGAAGGTCCAAGTACGCCCCTAGGTTTTCAATTGGTTGCCTTAGGAACATTTTCAACAACACAAAGGCATTTCCACCCTTTTCATATAAAAATTGATGGATCATGGAAGATTTAAGACTCCTTATATTACATTATCTCATTCTTTCTCTATTACAGTGAAGAACCTCTTAAATCCTCCACTTGTGGTTGTAGGTCTAATTTGACCTAACTACGCAAATCCTTATTTTCTTGTTTATTTTCTTTATTGATTTCCTCGTTCATATTTTTCATTGACTTGTTTTACATTAATCAAACAAAATTACACCCTTATTTTCTAGCAGTTAGGTAATTAGAACGCTGAAAAATTCAATAGACCGACAATTAGGGAAGATGTACATGTTTGATGTGCGCAAAGTGGTCTAGGTAGGAAGGGAACAAAGTCAAAAAGATCATGATCTTTTTTTTTTTTTTTTAAGAAGGCATGATCTAACTTACTTTTATTGTATTAAAGTATTGTCTTTGTAATTATTTTTCACTGTTGTAAATAAAAATTTAAAAATAAAATTAAAAGAAAAAACTTTTTGTAATTTTTACTAGTTGATAATTAAAGATATTAATCGATAAACTTATGTGTTGACAAACGTGATAAAAGAAATATAATAACTAAAAAAAGAACAAAGCAAGTATAAACGTACATGTGAAGATAGAGAGAGAGAGAGAAAAAAAAAAAAAACCCCGAAAATTATGTTGATCGATCTAAAAAATTATCTGAAAATGATGGCCATTATAAAAGAAAAGGCAAGGGAAAGATTACTTATTGCTGATGAAAGTGTTGGTGAGCTATATTTTACTCCACTACAGAAGCAGATAGAACAACCAAAGCAATTTTACTCAATTAGCAATGTATTCAGGCTTTTGATTTGGGAATAAATTATATGAGATAGACTTAGGGGTTAGAATTGAATATTTAATTTACATGAAAAATTCATATACATAGGCTCTTTTTGTCGGAAGGTAGATAAAGCTCTTATAGATGCAAATATATATATAGCTGTCAATTCGGGCATTTCAAGTTGGGTTCAGGTCGGGTCAAATTAAATTAGGTCTCGGGTCAAACAGTTTCAGGTTACGTCAGGTCAATCTATCCTCCAGATCAGGTTCAGGTTTGGGTCGGGTCAATTTCGGTTCAGGTTATCTCGGGTCTTTTATCCTTTTGGGTGTAGGTCGGGTTCATTTGAGTCAAATTCAAGTCGGGTTTAATTTCAAATTCGGGTTGTGTCAAGTCGGGTTTGGGCGGGTTAATAGTTGGTAAATTCAGGTTCGGGTTCGAGTTAGGGTTGAATCAGATAATTATCAGGTCGGATAATCTTAAAGTTGGATCATTCTTGGGTTTGGTTCAAGTTTATGTTGAATAAATATCGGTGTGGTCAAGTTCATTGAACCTATATAATTACGCCTTAATTTGATCAAGCATTAGGAAAATTTTATCAAACCTATATATGGAGTAATAAAAACAAAAGGTATATAGTCTGAACAAATTGTACCAATATGAATGCATTGGTAGATGATCTAAACAAATTGTACAATTCTATAGTTTTATCATTGTAAACTAATTAAACTCAAGATTTATTTTGGCTAAACTTGTTTCAGATTATTGGGTAATAGCAGGTCGCGTTGATATCTAGTTTCATGTTAGTTTTAGGTCTGGTCAATGGCAATTGGGTTAACAATGATGAGTTAAATAAAGTCTGGTTACAGGTCAGCATGGCTCGGGTCAATAACAGGTTGTGTCAGGTTATAATCGTTTTCAGGCTCTAATTGGGTCAAGTACTAGTTCGGGTTCAGGTTCAGATTGTTATCGGATCGCATTAAATTGGTTGACGATTACTATCAGGTCAGGTGCAGGTACGAGTTTTGGTCATAAAGTATTAGATCAAATCGGTTGTCGATTAACATCAGGTTAGGTTGAAGTCGGGTTACGGGTCACTAGTTTCACCTCATTGTTCGGATATATAGGTCAGGTTCAGACCATTGTCAGTTCAAGTTGAGTTCTCAGATTGGGTCAGCTTTTTATCGCTCTAGATACAGAGGAAGTCTACGTGGCACACTGACATGTGGTACTACCCTCCCCTCATTGGTTTATCATGGTATTAATTATATGGATTTATTAATTAAAAAAAAGTTTTTTTATATAAGATATAACCATGTTATCTCCAATTCTAACATTAAATGTTTGACCATGCTACCAAATTACGTTATACTTTAAGTTTTCTTTTGAAAATAAAATATTAATATCTAATTAATGATAAAATAGAATAATAATTTAATTATGAGAAAATTAAGTCATATATATATATTTTTTTTTTTGAGCCACAAGAGCGAGGTAAAAATCGATCCCAAGATCTTCTAAAATCGAAAAGAAAGCTCTAACCACTTAAGCTATCCCTCACTCTCTTGAAATGCAAATATATATTAGTTATTTGTTAAATTGGTGACCATTGACCAAGCTACTAGTCTAACAACTTAACTTTTACAGAGTACCTCCTTTTTATTCCTTAAACTACAAGCTAATTAAATAATACGTAGTATGTAGTACTTTTGTATTTAGGTTAGTTTCACTTGATATTATTATACATAAAAGTGCAGGTCTAAATTAGAATTGCAAGGATAAAATAAAATGCTCAAAACTATAATTACTGATTGGTTGGTAGTTCAATTTGTTAAGCGATGAGGTTAATATTTTAGTAATATTATTTTTTTATCTTGTTAATAAGACAAAATAATAAGTAAACCTAACTATATACCGAGGTTTATAATAATGTGTATAAAAATAAGGACGAATTAATTTTACCCTAATTACTATTCAAAAACTAACATTAATGGTTAATTTTCATGTTTTTTGAATTGATTTAGAAAAGTTATTAATATGAAATGATAGAAGTAATAAATAACAACTACAACGTGCAGGACATGCTTGATGATGGAAAGCAGGAACATCTTCAAAATTATAGAGTATTTAATGGGTGGAGCCCGGTATCTCCTGCTCAAATCCATTCAACAACAAAAACAATCAATGATCTCAAACTGTAAAAGTAATAATATGAATTAAATCTACTTATTTCAAACTCTCGATCTCCATCCAAAATTAGTTACTATCACATTGATGGTGTAAATTTAAATGACTTTTGTGACAACTTAATTTGAACATATAGGAAATATCGAGCTTAAAAGAAAAACCAAAGCAAGAATGATCATTGGTGAAAGATTGCTAGTTTGGTTTGATAATTCACCTTGTAAACATATCGATCGATAACATACCAATGGCAAAGGAAAGCGGCCGGAATAAGAATGACTAGAGACATGGCATGAGTGTCAGTAATGTAAACGTAGTTGCTCATTCCTTGTGTCATGGCTGCTTTGTTGAGTGTATTGCTACCTACAAATATCACTTCCATTGCCAATATAATTCCTAATAACTTTGCTTCCCACATCTTTCTCTCTTCTTCTCCTCTTTCTTTCTCTCTATTTTTGAGCTTAATTTGAGTTTCTCTCCTTATTACTTACCTTTGTTTAATTTTAGATGATTAATTACAACAAATCAAAATTATTTTACTCATTTAAAAGAAGTGCAATGTAATTTTATATTTCACAAGTCTGTTAACAACCCCACTATCAATTAAAAAAGGTCTTAATTAATATTGAATTAATTCGAAGATTGTCAAAATTAATATCCATTTTAACGTAGGTCCAATAAAAGATGCCTCTAATGGGAATCAAATAAAATGCATGTCACTATGAGTTCATAACAGAAATACATTTTTTTTTTCTCCAAATAGTGATTCATATTCATCAACCATAGAAGATATACAAAAATAGTTGTAATTTTGTAAGGCTAATCATATAAAAAATCATAGATTAGGTGGTTTGTCCAGTCCTATAATTATTTTAAAAAGACTAGGTGTTTTGACATTAATTTTTTTAGTTCTTGGTCTAATTCGAGATTTATTTATTTTTTTTATTAATTTGTTTTAAATTTGATTGGTTTGTTCTTTATTTGGTTGGATAAATGAAGTTGTAATTCTCGTGAACTTTTAAAGCACATGAAGTTTCTTTGCGAAAATTCCAAGATTTATTTGGTTTTGTATAGAAAGTCTATTTCCGGGAAAGTTTCATTTACATAGGAGGATTTGACAAGTAGATTCCTCTATTTTGTGAGAAGTAAAATTTATTATCATCAACTTTGGAGGTGTATCTTGCAATATTCTCCTATGATTTTTTTTTTCAATCCTCATAATAGTCTCAAAAGGAGGCAAAATAATATTTTCAAGTAAATTGAGATTTGCTTTAAGATGAGATCAATAGAAAAATGGATTATTCATATTCATTATTTCAATAAAAAGTCAAAAATTTGAAAATGGCAATACATAATACGAGTAATTATCAATTTTTACTTAGAACAAGAACAAATAATGTAAACCAGATTTGATCACATTAAAAAAAATAAGTACGAGTTAAACCGGTGTAATTGGATGAGTGGACTACCCTTAACGAGCCTAATAGAAAGCTATACTACCAGATGAGGATCGGAGACGATCCTTGGATGAGAGGTAGTCTGGTTTAGGTGGACTAGTTTATTGTTTATTTTTATTTACCCAAAGATTTGGGCTTGAATAAATTGGGCCAACTAAGCAAATTTGTAATGGTTTACAAATAACAGTAATAGTGTGAGCAGGCATTAGCATTTCAAAGCAAGCCTTATTTGCATCTAACCGAATAAATGAAATAAGCCTTTGTTTTTCTCTAACTTATTTTTATATGATACGAAACAGGGTCAATCACTCGTGGTTGCCCCGTCTATATTATTTAACCTGACCCATTGCCCGTTGGTCACAAATTAGTAAAAGGAGCAGCTAGAAATTTAGGATGAAAAAAAATGAAAATCAAAGGAATATTTATGATTGTTAACGTAACAACTCAACCAAAAGCTTAAGTTTATGGTTGAAGCCCAGGATCGGTTTATATACTCTATCACACCCTCTCACATGAGAGCTCATTGGGCTAAAGTGTGGATGTAGCATGGGTCCCACCATACCCAGCGTTTAATATTCCACTTTGATAGGAGGGGTGGATGAGATTCGAACTCGTGATCTTTGTGTCACGCTAGCTCTTGATACCATGTCAACGGACCAACTCAACCAAAAGATTAAGTTTATGGTTGAAGCCCAGAATCGATTTATATACTCTATCAATGATGTTGTACTTAGAAATTTTAAGTGTCAACTAATGGAATCTTTTTTAAATGGCAGGAGGGAAGCCATCCAACAATGTTGCTCAACAGCTACTACCATAGTACCAATTTCAGAATTCAGAGCATTTGATACAGTACAGCGCATACACATGAAACCATGAATAGTATGAATGAGGAAGATGAAGTTTACAAATTACATGTACAAGTGATGTAGCTGGTGTACAAGGTTTGAGGCCTTTATGATTCTTCTTTTACGTACCTCTGCTGTACTTTTGGACTTTTGGTATCACTTAAGAAATTAGTTATTGGTGTCCATTTTGAAGATTTAAAGGCCGAGTTGAGTTGATGCACTTCTTTATGTTAAAGCTGGTCATGGGTCGATTCCTAGTAAGAGCATAATCTGTATATGTTTGTGAGTTCTTAATTGATACATACATTCAATTGGATTCCATCTTAGGCCGATTTTTTTTAATTTTTTTTAGATAGTTTACAAAGTTCATTCAAAATGAGTGACAAACCAGAACTAGGCCATTTATTTGCATATAGTGAAAGGTTAAAGTATAAAGAACGTATTTACATTTTTTTTTTATTTAATGGTAAGGAGAAGGGCCCTATCGTGGGCTGAAACTTCTCACGGGTCCAACTCGATTCAGGTTAGCGGGCAAAACAATTTGGAAGTGGAGGGAAGGGTAAGAGAATTCCCACCCCAAATTGCCTCTAGTGGGGTGTGATCCCACAACCTTTTGGTTGTGATGTGTTAAACCTTACCACTAGACTAAGCTTAGCTTGATTATTAATGTCTATGTCATATTTCTATGTCATCCTCTCTACATTAAAATAAATAAATAAATAAAATCGTATGTATATGTTATTGATTTTTTTTTGACATGGAAATAAAGGTCAAATCGATAATTATGTATCCCAATGGTAACTAAGCGTCACGGAGCGTTTGTGGAAGCAAAAACCACATTGATGGGTCCATAGACGGTAGACTAAAGGGCCACTTTTTCTCACGCTAATTTGGTCGGCCATCACAAATACAATTTTCCTATTTTCTAACTAAAAACTAAATTAATAAGGAGGAACTTTTTTTAGTTGACTATGCAAATATTTGGGTTGATGGACTACATCATTCCTATAATCGTAATTCAAGGTCACATGTATGGCCAAAAAAACAAATGAAAACTCTCTTATAATCTTCTCAAGTTTTTTATTAGGTCATGTCTTGCAGACTTATCTTCAATTATTTCAAACAAAATTACTCTTGATAAATTTATACGAAATACTTTCTCGGTTTTTTTAGTTGACACCATTTGATTTTTACACTATTTATAAACTACACTTTGACTAGTTTTTGTGATTTATAGCTACCATAAAACATAGTCAAGTGGGATATTATTTGAATCGTCTCAATGTATATTTTATTAATATCCACTTTTAAAATTTTACAATGTTGAGAATTAGAGATATTAATAGTTAAAATAGTGCATTAGTAAGCGTGATAAAAGAAATATATCAACTAAATAAAAACGGAGTTAGTATAAGTTTAGACAAAATTAATTCGTATAAGCTCAAATAAAATTCTGTTTTGATTTTCTCCCAAGACGATGTTACACAATTGTTTTACTTTGTATTTCATTTTACTTTATTAACAAGACTTTCAAACACAAATAAATTTATTACAATCAAATAAGTCAAATAGATCAAAGCTTAAGGAGTTAGGCTATGTTATGTTTGGCTTACTTTGACTCATTTTAGCAAAAATAGATCAAATAGATTTAAACAAAATAAGAATAGAAGTGTGTTTTTATTTTTCCATACCAAACAAGTTCAAAGAAATAATTTCAAATAAGTTTAGATAATATTTGATGGATTTAACAAATTCTTATTATGGCTAATAAGATTGTAACCAAAAACAAAAGAAAAAAGGTGTGTGGTTAAATGATCACATCTAAAACTTAAAAACTTATCACTCACATTTTGCATTATCAAAAGACCATATATAATATTCTGATAGAGACAATGAACAGGTCATTTATATGAGATCGATCTAATATGGCTGACCAATCTTTAGATCGAGTATGAATTTGGGTTGAATTATATCTTGATTACACTCGTCGAGTCAGTTTTATCAGTTCTGTGCACTAGATTTTGCTAGCTAAAAAGGTGCAAGAACAATGGAGAGACTAGCTAATTGGAGGGCTCACTGTTTTTCTGCTGAGTGTCTAGCGTTATACACCGACTTACATTCTTACAACCAACCATATATCTAGCTAGGTTAGTGGAAATTCCTTGCATCAATATATATATATGCAGGTTAAGAAAAGAGGGTCAAACCACTCTTTTTGTAGCTTTTTATTTTCTGAATATGTATGATTACACTTTTCAGTTGCATTAGAGAGAGAATCCCCAGCTTAGCTAAGCCTATAATCTCTAGATTATATACCACCGTTTCTGTCTCTTAAAGATTGTCCAATTTTTCTTTATAAACTAACTTTAAAATTGTTCATATTTTCATCTTTGTTAACATAGTCCCTAACTCCCTACCATCTCTTTAGTCTTTACTTTATCTACCATCTCACGTGTTAAGAATAAATCTATATATTCACTCTATTATAATTGCCTAGTCTGGTCATTGGTTGTTCACGTTGGGTGTAGCTGGGTAGAGTTATTTTGGATTGAGTCATATTAAATTGTATGCAGCTTTAATTTATGATCAGGTCATTCTGGCTAAGATCAATTTTGACACCTCTACACTCGATACAACTCTAAACAAAATGAAACGTGAAAGGAAATAATTTTAATGGGATGGAAAGAATAAGAGCCACTAATAAAGAAAAAAAATTACTACTACCTCTGTTTCATATTATCTGCAACGATTTAAATTAAAGTGTGAATAAAAAAATGTTTAATTGTTACAAATATACAAAACAGACGTAGCATTAAGATACATTGCTTTAACTAGGGATACATATGGGAGGAAAATGAAGGGGGCAAAAGAAGGTTAACAACATGACTCTTACCTAACCCATATGCAATAATGTCAGCCCAGAAAAAGGCCCATTTCATAGGGCATAATTTGATGGAGCAGATACTACTGTATTGTTTTTTGCTGGAGAAAGATGTTATGGGCCCTACTGACAAAGCGGTCTAACTGGATAAGCACTTTCAGTTTAAATGACTTCAAGTCCAAATATAACATGTTTTAACATAATATCTGTCAACCCATGAAGGCTAAAGTTCCTTTTTTTTCCTTTTTTTTTGGGTCCACCAATTTATAAATTTTATTGAGTTACTTGAATAAAAAGAGATTCTATAGTTTTCAAAAATTACAAAAAGTAGGGAGAAACTTTGAAGTGTGAACATTAGGAAGAAAATAGTGTATTGTTTTTGTGATTAGAGTTTATGAATGATATGAATAATTCTTTGAGGTGGACCTAATCTAAAAGTGCGTGGTGTGATCTGTTACATAATAAATTGGATATAGAAATATCACACATATTTGAATCAATAAACGAGTGGTATTATATACCTTATTATTCTAAATTAAACATATAAATTTCCTGAAAATTACGCACGAGATATGTTTAATTGGGTGTTGCTATATCCACTAGTGTAGTTGAATGGAGGTACATACACTTTAATGTATATGTTTGGATAAAGTAGGTTGCATAATGTCCATGCCTCCAATGTGATATTATAATATTAAATACACTTATTAATAATATTATATACAATTATCAATATAATATTAAGTTGATTTGAATTTTAATTGTGTTAGTAGGGGGAGCAAGGAGTATCAAGGTTGCAAAATGTACATGCTTCCCATGTGATATCCTTTCTGTAAAGAGAGTAAGATAAACTTAAGTAACAGAGATATTATTAGGGCATGAAATGACATTGTTTGGGACAATTTGGGTTTACCAATGTACCATTATGAGTTTATAGACATGCTTTGGTTGGTAGTTTAGGGAAAACGGGAAGAGATTGCAATTGCAATACAATAAAGTTTTGATTGATTGATTACCTCCCAACATTATGAGGCCCTCCTTGCTATCCTTGATCTTCAAATTCTTAATCATTTGTCAAACTTTTTTGGTGAATAAAGAATTTGATTATTAAGCATTAAGTGTTCCTTTTTGACACGATGCATATCATACGCAATAACTTAACAAAATAATGTTAGTTTAAATGATTAAAATGTTAACTTATTAGTTTATACGAAACAGTTTAAGTGACTAATATGCAATGAAGTTACAAAAGGTGAGAAATTGACTATGAGACTTGAATTGATACCAAGTGGTTGATAGTCACCTTGAGGAAGTACTAATGTAAGTTTGATATGTATGTGCAAATACATATCAAACATTAAAATATTGAAAAGTATTGTAAAGCACATGGGGGTGGGAGAAAAGGAGGAGAGAGAGGGCATGTGGGACCAGTTTTAAATGTACCACTGAAAGCTTATATAATATCATTGACTATGTAGTGATTCTATTTCTACACGTAGTTAGTACCACTGAATGAATATACAGTACCATTGAATGAATATATAGTACCACTGAATGTTCAATGATACTATTTGATCATCTAGTGATACTATTAATCACCCAGTGGTACACTTAAATTCAGCACATGGGGGTGAGAGAAAGGAGGAGAGAGATGGGTAAATTTCATGCGAAATGTCTCTTATTCCCCTTGATATGTATGTCCAGGTACCTATCAAACCTCCCTTTGAAAGGCCTCTACTAAGGTGTATTCTAGTCAGATCACTTGATTTTCATTATCTGAACTTATCTTTTATGAATTTAATTATCTGAATTTATTTAGACTTATTTGAAGTTATTAGACCTTATTAAAACTTATCCAAGTTGTGATTTGAATTTGGATAACCCTTATCAAAACCCTTTTTTTTTTTTTAAGGAATCAAAACCTTTTTTTTTTCCTGAACTCTTATATAAACTTATCTTTCCTAAAAATAAAATAAGTGAAAATAATTTGAAATAGGGCCTTTCTATTAATAATTAAATAAACATCAGCTTAACGACGTTTTATATAATTAATAAAACTCTTTATAATATTTAGAATTCTTTGCATTCCAAAAACTTTAAAAATATAAAATAAAGAATCAATGATTAAAGTATGATATAGAAAATGAAACATAGTGGACATCCTCACAAAATGGGGAGCACATAGCTAGAATGATATGACTAATATCGTGGTTTATACACTACTAGAGGTGTATATTTCCAAAACGTTAGGAATAAACTAATAAAGTGTCCTTGGCATGAAGAGGTTTTGAAAAGAACATGTATGATCGAGTTATTGATGTAAGGTTGCAATAGTTGATACTTAAGGATTAAGTACCTTTTTAGTACAAAGTTAAACTTCAAAGAATGTGACGCAGTCGGAATTAATGGAGGAAAAGCAAGCGCAGTTCCTAACACGTACACACAAATTTACAAGTGATAAATCTGTAAAACTTAAGAATTCACCAGAAAAGAGTACAACGTACTCTCAAGATTATTATTGTAAAAAGCTGATTTCTAATGACGGCTAAAACATTTAAATAGTCTAAACAAAGCCCTAATACGAAAATTAAGCAAAAAAAAATATCTGGAAAATGTTTAAACGTTGTTGTTTCACCATAAACGAAGTCAGGTGGCTTAAAAATCCTGTCACACATGCGATAGCCTTGAGTTAAACTCGTTGGCCCGTTTCCATTTCCGAAAATATATTTTATCAAATAATCTAATTCCGAGAGCCCAACTAGTAGAAATATAATCATAACTAGTAAAAATCAACTCAAGCCTTAGTTCCGACCTGAACTTCTTCGTTGAAATGTGCAACTAATATCCCTACATCAGAATGGGGTGAGTTTGTTGGCTCAATTGGAGGAGTAATTGTGAATTAGGCTAGAAAGCAACCGCGAGATTGCGAATGAGCTAAATGCGTAAGATTGTAGCTTGATCACCGTGTTTCTATGCAATCATATAAAGGTGATCTTTTTAACTTTCTTCGGTAGATGTAGTCAGTAATCATATCATATCATATAACTAATATATAAAGCTAAACTTTTAGCTAGACCATAAGATAGCGATGCTTGGCGTTTTAACTTTTGGCCAAGTGTCGCTCCTCGTAGGCAACAATTAATAATTATTATGACACGAATGATTAAAATGTTGGATAGATTTAGATTAGTTTTATAAGATAAAAAAGTTAGTTCAGAGTTTTATTTTCAATTAAATTTGGATAGTTTTTTAGGATAAAATTACTGGCATAGAGTTTTATCTTTGATAAAAAATACCAAAATTTTATATGTACAATTTAAATTATCAATCAATCAATCAAACCCTCTAAAATTAAATTATAACCCTATTAAAAAATAATTAAATTATAATTTTCAGTAATAATAAATACATGGTATCCTACGTTCAAGTATCCTAAATCAAAAGGGATATAAACCTCTTGCATAAATGTTTGTACAAAAGATATGTTTTAAAATTTGGTATATAGAAAAAAAAAATTAAATTCAGTAAACAAACCGGGTATCGCCACCAGAGTTAAAGTTTCAAATAGGCAATCGTCTTTCAAAAAAAAAAAAAAAAAAGGGAAATTCTCTTTGGTAACACTATACTTTTTAATTTTCTTAGTGGTAAATTGCAAAAATTCTTATTATCTTTGATAATATTGTATTTTTTATTACCAATGATAATAATTATTTCAATAAAAATTATTAACTATGGTTAATTTTTTTAATCTTTTTAATAATTAAATTATTTTTTTATAAAAAAAAATTCTCCCCCACCCAGTCACCTCCCCCCCCTTCCCCTTCACTGCCAGTCCAGTGTCCCCCCTCCTGGCCGGCGTTGAAATCTGCAATCGTAAAGAAGTTGAAACCCTAGCAGAGAAGAAGAAAGTCGTCGAAAATAATATAATTTAATTAGTTGTTAAAAAAAAAAAAAAAAAAAAAAAAAAAAAAAAAAAAAAAACAAAACCTAACTATAGTTAAAAGTTAATAAAAAAAAATTATCAGTAATGTTATAAATAATAAGTATAAATAGTTTAGGTTTATCAAAGATAATAAATTTTTTTGCAATTCACCACTAAGAAAATTAAAAAGTATAGTGTTATCAAAAAGAATTTCCCCAACCTAAAAGTGTTGGAGTCCAAGAATTTACTTTCAAACTAAGGGTTTTGAATAAAGTCTGGAGTACTTAAATTGTTAAATAACAATGAAACCGTTAAATTATATTACTCATCCGATTATGAACATTTAAAGCAATAAATGTTTCATACGTGGATGGATTTAATTTACACATTAGTGATAAATTCCTTTGAAAAAATAATTATAACTTTATACTTATGTTATAAGTAGTCAATTAATGTAGGGATTTTAAAACAATTAGGATATATATTTCGGAAGGAACTCGGGCATCGCTTGGGGTACATACTAATTGGACAATAATTGGGTCCAATTACGTTCATCGATTTTTAGTTTCATTTATATCAGTAACTAGTTTAAGTCCCATGCAATGCTAGTTTTTTTTTTTTTTTAGTAAATAATGGTTTCATTACCAAAATAAAGTTGCAAAGCAGCAAATAAGTACAAACCAAGATAGGCTAAAGCCAATGAAAACCCAAGCACCACAAGCCAAGAAGGCAAACACCACCAGCCAAAGGTTAAGGAGCCATAGGCCACCTTCTAGGAAGGGTTCCTATGGAACCAGAACCAAGTAAAAGGCAAGCTGAACTCTAAGGAAAACGACTACCCTCTAGGAGGTACACCCCTAACCAAAAGAACAACACAACAGACAATAGGGAGAAAAGTAGAAGACTCCATGATTACAACATAAGCATCAATCTACTCTTTTCAGGGCATCTACAGGCCACTCTGAACACTATATCTCTAACAAGCAACTCAAGAGACTTAATTTGTCCAGACAAAATGTAAGAGTTCCTTTGAAGCCATATACTGTATATGGATTCAGTGAAGCACATGTAGATTAGTTTCTGTCTTGGTCTCGAATTTCTGCAAACTTTCAGGATCCATTCTAGCTCTTCATTCAATTTCTGAGGCATTCTTTGGATTCTTAGCAAACAAAGAATTTTACTCCAAACAGCAGTAGAGTGGTTGCACTCAAAGAACAAATGTTGCACATTTTCCTCCTTCTGGTCACAGAGAACACAACCAGGGTCACAGTTCATTTTCCATTTTATCAATCTGTCCTTGGTGAGAAGTCTATTCTACACAGTAAGCCAGAGAATAAAGATGCTTTTGGGAGAAGCATCATTATTGCAGATTAGTCTCTTCCATCTCACTTTTGGTCCTTGATGCTGTAAGTGCACATAAACATTTCTGATTTTAAAGGTGTTATTTCTTAGAATTATATCCCAGCTACCTATATTATCAATGATGGTCCTGCTCTTTAAAATTTTTTGGAGGGCCCATGAGCATCTCTTTGGGGCAGGGAGATTCCACCAGTCTTTACCTTTGAAGTAATAGACATGAACCCATTTCACCCACAGATTATCAGACTTATGAGCTAAATCCCATAATAGTCTAGTTATAGCAGCCATGTTCCACTCTTGCAAAGATATAAGATTCCAACCCCCACAAGATTCAAGAAGACTAAGATGTTTCCAGGTTACAAGAGCTTTCTTTGAGGGGTTAGCTGTACCAGTCCACAAGAAATTCCTAAATCTAGCTTCAATATCTCTGAGAATTTTCTTAGGAAGAATAAAGATTTGAGCCCAGTAAGTCTGAATTCCGAATAAAACACTCTTGATCAATTGCAACCTTCCTGCATATGAAAGATGCTTAACTGACCAAGTATTAATTCTATTAGTCACTTTTTCAACTAAAGGTTTGCACTGATTGGTAGTTAGCTTTTTGGAGGAGAGGGGAACACCCAGATATTTAAAAGAAATGGAGCCAGGAGAAATACCAAGATGATTTTGAAGTTCAGCTTGCAGATCCTCATTCACACCCCCAAAATACATCTCAGTTTTATCAAGGTTAGCTGAGAGACCAGATGCTTTAGAAAACTTATTAAAAGCATCAAAAAGATGAATAGTAGATACTAGGTCAGCTCTACAAAACATAAGAAAATCATCTGCAAACATCATATGGGTCAGAGCAAGCTTCTCACATCTTGGATGATAATTGAAATCAGGAGTATTTTCTAGATCACATAGACATCTGGAAAGATATTCCATTCCTATAGCAAATAGAAAGGGAGACATAAGATCACCTTGTCTTAACCCTTTCTGAGCATAGAAGGGCTTAGAAGGTTTGCCATTAATAAGAATAGAAAATGACACTGTTTTAATGCAACCCATAATCCACATCACAAACTGAGTAGGAAAACCTAACTCATTCATCATACTCTCTAGAAACCCCCATTCAACAGAGTCATATGCTTTTTTCAAATCAACCTTCACCATGCATCTAGGAGAAATATTCTTCTGAGTGTAGTCTTTAATCAGTTCAGTTGCCAACAGAATATTATCACCTATGTGTTTCCCAGGGATAAAACCAACTTGAGCATCATCAATGACACTCCCAATGACCTTAGCTAATCTGGCAGTTAGAATTTTAGAGATGATTTTGTAAAGAACCAAACAGCAAGTAATTGGTCTGAAATCTCTGGCATAAGAAGGGTTGGGAACTTAACCTAATTATGAATTACAATGTTAATTTAACAATAGTTTTAAAAAGATCAATATTTTTTATTTGAAACAGATATTTGAATATTTTAAAAAAAAATAACTTGAAGTTTATATTATATTGATATCAAAAAGTTATTGATCATTACATAATTTAAATAAAAAAATAAAATAAATTTAATGATTATAGGGCTTTATATAAGAATGAAACTTTATGTTAATTATAACATGTGCAATGTACTTATTTACCTCATATGTCCCTATTCTGTTGGCATATTTTGTCCGACACAATGTTTTATAGCATACTTTGATCGGCACAATGTTTTATATAAATTTAATTGACTTATTTTTTGTGACAATTAATAATCCAGGTTTTTTATTTTTATTTAATATTTATGTAGTATTATTATAATAAATAAATCAACAAATATATAATAAAATTTAAAGTGTCAATCCTGATGGGAACAATACATATATATCAAAGAAAAAATTACGATGTAGAAGATACGGAGTACGTGAGTAGTACATTATTCTAATATATTACCTTATACATATACGTAGTATATGTTTGTTTGTTATAGAAAACTACCTATTATAAAATATAAGAAAGATATGTTAAAATCTATTCATTGAATGCATATAGAATATACTTTGTATATAGTTGCCAAATTGAAAGTTATATATTATAGAGTAAAAGTGGCTGGAGAATTTTTAATCAGAACATGACAAGTGTCATGTCAGATTTGCTTTTTGTATTATGTTATTGATGATTACAAACGTATACATACAAAAACTAGTTAAAACAATTTTTTAGAATTTCTAAAAAAAAAAAACCATATAGAAATAAAGGAAATAAATTACCAGAATTAGGTAAACCCTAATACAGGAAAAAGATCAATGCCATAAACAATCCACCTAAAGAAAACACTCAAAGCGCTATTTGTGAGAATATTTTGTGATATATTTTTGGTTATTGTTTCCTTATCCAAGAATTACCAAAAGATAGAGTGATTCTAGGTTAGAGATTCTTATCAAGCCTTGTAATATATATTTTTTTAACATGATTAAGAGCCTATTTTGTTCAGCTTAATTTCAGCTCACTTCATTTCAGTTCAGTTCCTAATTTTCTTCTCTCATAAATAATTCATTTCAGCTCTATTCAGTTCAGCCCCAATCAGTTCAGTTTAGTTCAGTTGTTTTCAGTGATTCGGAACAGGCCCTAATTAATGAAGGCCAACCCAAAGTTTATACAAATTCTTCATGGTATCAAAGTCTAGGTTAAGTTATGTTGTGATCTGGGCCAGTATTGTGAACAACTCACATGTGAGGGGAGTATTGAGCCCTGAGCAAATAATTAAACCCACATGTGATTGAAAGTGTGTAAAAAGTGTTGGGAAGTGTATCCGACATTAAAGAAACAAGAAAGTTGTATCTACTTTATAAGGCTAAGGGGTTGCTCCCCTCATTACCATATGATTTTGAGGTGGAACCTCCTTGGTTGTTTAAAGTAGACACCCGTGCCCAGTAGTGATTAATTAATTGATTATGTAGTTCTTGAATGACATGATCTTAAATCTTATCTCATTTTCACAATAAGTTGATGAATGTATGTGTGCACTCATGCACCTTAAGAAAAGAAGTTTTAGGTCCAATAACTTCATATTGGGTATAATAAGTTCTAATAGGTTTACTCAATCAATTATGTTTACTCTTTTGCATCCATGTTTTCTATTCAAGTTCACTAAGTTTCAATTAGGTCTAATATTTTTGTAATTATGTCTAATTTATTCTTTAACCAATCAGTTGTACTAATAAGGTCCAATCAAGTTTAATAAGTTTTAATAAGATCTACTATTTTTTTTTATTAATTATGTCCAAATTATTCTTTAACAATCGAGTCTACTAAGAGTCATTAATTAATTCCAATTAGATCCAATTAATTCTTATTAATTAATAACTTGAAAAAAGTTCAAGTAAGTTCAATTTAAAAATAAATTCGAGAAATTTCAAGTGAAGAAAATGTACAATAACTCCGTTACTTTTTACACATTTATTAAGATGATACAAGAGGAGGACTGGTGGAAGCTAACTTGTGTAGTGTAATTGGTCAAATGTCTCACTCTAAAAACCCCACATATCTGAGTCCAAATTGTCCTCCACATCCACATAGGTTGATGATATGATATATATAGATGCCATTTCCATCTCTCCATGATTGCAAGTCTCTTTCAAGTCTTCTGTTAGCAAAAAAAGCAAACATCATCAACTACGTTCCCCACCAACTCCTACAATACAAACTTTAAAAAAAATCGGGTGTACAATAATTATTGTACATCCACTATAAAGATAGACTAGATTGATCAAAAGTTACCCCTAAAATAAATAAAAGTTACCCTAATATGCATAAAAGTAATCCAATACAAATAAAAATTATTAGTAAAGAATCACATTTTAAATGACTAAAAATCAATTATTTGTGATTAAATGTAATTAAATTACCATTATATAACTTTTCTTATTGTCTATTTATATAAAAATTGTATTATGTTAAAAGTTACCCCAAAAAAAGCAAAAAGTTACCCTAAAATTAGGTAAAAGTTACCCTTATACTGCTCGATGTACAATAAAATTAGTGTAAAACGGGTGTATACAAAAATTTTTGCTCCTACAATTATTTCGATATTTATCCCAAATATGGGAACTCATTAATTAATTAATTAATTAATTAATTTCATTCCATTACTATGATTAGTCTAATCAATTATCATTGGTGAATTATGTACCTAATCTCATTAGAGCCGTTTTTGTTGGTCTCGCCAAATACAGGATTATTTTGATTAATAAATGAAAACGATTGACGACTTTTAAGTACCTAAATTGTTCTTCCTCTTTAAGTATGTAAACTTTTCAAAATTATAGCACATATTTAGTGAAAACCCCAAGATAATAGCACTGCTAGGAACTTATTTTAATTAGCTAGTATCCCGTACGTAACAAACATACACAAATTTTTAGACCTAGTCTACAATTTTATTGAATTGATTGATAGGCAAGAACAAGAAGTACACTATGTTAGTATCCACTCCTCTTGAGAATCGATCAACAGTCTCTCGCTCCTTATTAGGCTTGAACCTATATCCATGTTATTCTATTTGATATGTGTACATTGTCTAGTGTTTACAATTGATTATGATTCTACCCTAATTTCTAACCGTAGGAAGTTAATGCAACAACATACAATCATGAAACTAAGGTATGTTGCATGCATGCAATGCATCCTTAAAGGCCACTTGCATGCATGAGCCATAGCAAAAATCTCTGATGTCTAAATTCAGAATAACAATTCACAAGTACCTATGTTCGTAAACATAAAGAGAGAAATCCAATGTGTATGTGTGTATTTGTTTTTCTTTTTCTTTCTTTCTTTTTTTTTTTTTAAGTTATTGAACCTTAAAATATAAAAATTCAAAACAAATAATTTGAGGTTTAGGAGATAAGACAGTTTTATTACTCCAAGAAAAACACTGAAATTCATATAT